AGTGTGCTGATAGGCAGGATTTTATTTATTTATTTATTTATTTGTATTTATTTATTTATTTACTTTTTTTTTGGGTGGGGGGTTCTGGTAGTGTGATGGTATTAGGGTGAGCGGTGGTGTAAGGGTGACAAATACGGGTGTTAGGGTGAACGGTGGTGTATAAACATGAGGAATGTTGTTTGAGAATATTACTACTAGGTATGTTGATATTAGTGTGAGAATATTATTCAAAATATTACTGTTTAGTACTGTGACAGCATTACAGGGGCTAGGTTAGTGTGACCGTGAGTGGCCAGAGATTGACAGGGAACTGTGTGTGTGTGTGTGTGTGTGTGTGTGTGTGTGTGTGTGTGTGTGTGTGTGTGTGTGTGTGTGTGTGTGTGTGTGTGTGTGTGTGTGTGTGTGTGTGTGTGTGTGTGTGTGTGTGTGTGTAACTCTCAAATTTGATAAGCTGTATAATGTTTAATGTTAGTAGAAAGACATCAAAATCACTACTATGTTACACCATTGGTAGAGACAGGGTGGGAAGAGAGACAGTGACAGAGAGAGACAGTGACAGAGAGAGAGAGACAGAGAGAGAAAGAGACAAGTTAGTTCTCTCAATTTCATAACGCCGCCACTTAGGGAAACAGTAACAAGAATTATACGTGTAGCGACAGGATGAGGACACGACTACTCACATCACTTGACAAGAACACCATCCAGTAGTACTACAGAGGTGTATAACGAGTGTTGTTGGTAGTTGAGGGTAGTTAACTCCTTGTTTATATAGAGGATTTAACTCTTTTAAGAGCCTTAACCGTGTGCATATAACTCTTAATACTCACTCACTCACTCACTGGGATAAAGTACAATATTCTCAACACTCCTTTGTTTTTGTACACTGACAAGTAATAACAAAATATAATCTGCTTTACGAACTGATTTGTTGATTATTGTTTTGAAAGTACATAACAACAACAACAAGTGGAGGATGGTGACGGTAGTGGTGATGGTGTGGGCAGGTAGGGGTTGTGATGATGATATGGGCATAGTGGGGGTTCTGGTGGTGTGGGTTGGAGGATTTTGGTGTTGATGCAGGAAGGTGATGATGGTAGTGGTATGGGCTGCAGTGGTGATTGTGTGGCTAGGAAGCGTTGGTGTAATTGTAAGAGGTGATGGTGTGGAATGGTGGTGATGATGTGGATAAAAGTTGAATGTAGTGTGGGATATAATGAAGAAAGTATCCATTTCTCGTACACTATAATGCCTCTCTGTCCACTATAATGCCTCTCTGTCCAATATAATGCCTCTCTGTCCAATATAACGCCTCTCTGTCCAATATATTGCCTCTCTGTCCACTATAATGCCTCTCTGTCCAATATAATGCCTCTCTGTCCACTATAATGCCTCCCTGTCCACTATAATGCCTCTCTGTCCACTATAATGCCTCTCTGTCCAATATAATGCCTCTCTGTCCACTATAATGCCTCTCTGTGTCCACCTATAATGCCTCCCTGGCTCTCCTTTTCTACAATGCCTCTCTGTCCTCTCCAATACCTCCCTCACACCTAATGCCTCCCTGTACACTATAATACCTCCCTGTCCACCATGCCTCCCCTGTCCACTATAATGCTCTCTGTACACTATATGCCTCCCTGTACACTATAATCCCCCCTATGCCTCCCTGTACCACTGGCCTCCCCTGCTTTTCTCATGCCTCCCATATACTCATGCCTCCCTGTACACACACCTAATGCACTCCTTGTCACTATAATATACCTCTGTCCTATTACCTCCCTGTACACTATAATCCCTCCCTGTATACTATAATGCCTCCCTGTACACTATAATGCCTCCCTGTACACTATAATGCCTCCCTGTACACTATAATGCCTCCCTGTACACTATAATGCCTCTGTCCACTATAATGCCTCCCTGTATAATATAATGCCTCCCTGTACACTATAATACCTGGCCTTATATACTCTATAATACTCAAAGTCTTATAACCCAAATTCTCTAGACACTTCTGGTATACATAGAAGGGTTGTGTTTATAACCGCTAAAAACTATACTGTATAACAATTAACAACCTGAAAAAAGATTATTATAACCCAAAGAAAAATACGAATAGGTAGATGTTAAAATCCCCTTCTCCTATTACCTATACATGACCCTATTAAGATGATGGTGTCAAGATGAATGTCCAAAAATGGTGTTTAGGTAATCCTGGTCTCGACTCTATCTGCTGTTGGATTCTGAAGAGTTCCAATTGCCTTGTTTCAGAAGTGTCTTGTATTACAGGAGTTTAAGGATGGTATTTGTTGTATTTCTTTGTAATTTCAGTTACAAGGGTGTGTTGTGGTGGAAGGTATATCAGTGTATGTTTGGTGGTGTGTGTGTGTGTGTCGTAGTGTGTGTGTGTGTGTGGTGTACTGTATGCGTCACGGTATGGTAGTGTGGATTGTGATAGTGTGTTGCAGTATGGAAGTGTCAGTATGTGGTAATGTGAAGTATGTGATGGTATGAGGTATGTTAGAATATGAATGAGTGTATGGTTAAGTTTGTGTAGCTTAGAATCAGTATCTGATGCAGTGTAAATTCTCAGTATACTGTATGTGGTTAGTGGAGTGTCAGTATAGGGTAGTGTAGAGAATTACGTCAGTGTAGGAGTTGTGTGGAACGAGTCAGGAAGGTGGTGGTAGTAGTAGTGGTAGTAATGGTGGTAGGTACTATTAACACCACCACCAGCAGCATCAGCGGCGGTAGTGGTGGTGATGGAAGCGGCGGCGGGTAGCAAGCTGGCTGGTTGTCCCACACTCACACAGCCGCTGTGGGTGTGTTGGGCCTTGCTTATAACACTGCACAGGATGCTTTTCACTCGCCCACCTCATCATCTTTACCCTCACCTTCAACACAACTTGCGGTTTTTACTAACAGCTGGGAACTACACTGTAACACCACCTAAATGATCGTTTGTAAGAATATAAACAAAACATTTCAATCTACGGATACGAGAGATATCAAATGAAGCTCTCTGTGTACTGTTCTACCTAAGGAATATCATCGATACTTAAAATTTATCCATGAAATGTGTTTTTATCCCTGGAGAAGCGGTATTGTTAGAGGTAGCTGGCGATGCCGTTCTAATATGCTCTATTATAACCAACACGGCGGTACACACATTATTTCAGCATTAATACGTATCACTGTTACACAACTGTTTGGTAATCCCCAGTTTATTATATCGTGAAAGGATTCCTCTTGATTCAATCGCCGTATTATCCAACATCGGGCCGCGTGGGTTTCCAGACAGACGAGATGTGATCCTGCGGGATAACTGGAGGCAAATCACGGACCTATACCACCACCTGTCTGTACGTGCGTAGTTATCCGAGGAACCTAACGGACAAGATGTAAAATCGTCTGTGTTTGTGTGGGGTGAAATATATCGGCATTGTTAAGGAGCATCTGGGCTTGTGTTAGCTTGGCTTGTCCGGTTTATTGTGTGGTTCCAGCAATGCAGTTGAGACACAATAGATTATACCTCTGAGGTTATATGAGACTCCTCTTAATAAATTATAAAATATCAATCCTACAGTATTAATCCTACCTCATGAAACCTCCATCTACATCCATAAGTGACACAACAGTTTGTTATAACACTAATACTATAAGTAATGGAGAGATATATATATGCAGGTGGGAGCGGCCGAGGCGGTAAGCGGGTGTCTTCAGCAGCCTTACCCTCTCCTCCCTGCCTGTCTGCCTCGCTGGGCTGGGTGGGAGGGAGGGAGGGAGTGAGGGACGTAGGAAAGGAGGGAGGAGAAGGTTGGCAAGCCTGGTGGAAGCAACAGTTGCAGCGGGAGGTGGGGGAGGTGGGAGGCTCGCGGGGCGGAGTCAGGGGGAGCGCGACTGCGGGGAGGAAGGGCGGGGACTAAGTTTGGGGGGGTGGGGGCGGAGACACGGAGATGGGGGAGAGAAGGAGAGTGGGGGTGAGGAGCTTGGTGGGGGAAAGAGAGGCGGGCTGCCTGATGCACGATGCTACAAGAAAGATTACGCTAGTTTTTGACTTGGGGGAGTTTTAACTGCACTTTCGATGACTCTGATGGAATATTATTATGGAACTGTGGGGTGCAATTTCTTGATGGTAGAAACTCTCGCAGTTTCTGAAGTTGTTGCTTTGGAAGTTAGTGTTGTATAAATTCATTTGAGTTACATTGGTGCGTTGCAGTTTTACAGACGCTGTTTCATTTTAGGGTTTTGGCACGAATTTAATTGATCTATTTTCTTATTTTTTCCTTGTCCCGTCTCCTCCTGCGGGAGGCGTCAGCGGAACCAGCGGTAGACGCTGTTTCAGGTAGCGACTACCAAGTCACAAACCAGCAACCATATGTTAAACTGCGCAAGTCCACCACCACCTCCTACGCCAGGCGGGTTTCATTCACAGATAGAGAGAGCGTACTTCACACCCCATGACGCCTCCATGCCGCCCGTACGCCCATATCCCGCCGCTCCCGGCCCACTGTCACACCCGCCTGGGGACGCTGACGCCACGCGCTATACACTCGCTCCTCTCCCACCCTGCATTGCCTTACCCTCTTAACACACATCTTTGCAGCTACTAACTCCCGTACAGTATAACTGAACACATACTCCCTGAACCAGACACACTTGTGGCATGACCATGTGAGTCTGGGTGGCGGGGTGACCACTGGCTGGCAACAGACCATTGGTGGAGGCCTCCTGGTGCCTTCTTGAGGACGCTTCTGATGTGTCGAGGTGGCCTTCAGTGCACGCGGCAGCCAAGCTGATAGCGGTGGCAGCCTCTGTTGCACTAACCTGCCTCCCGTATCATGACCATCTCCACAAGTTTTTGTTTACCATCATAGTGTCCTTGTCATCAATGTGGCGTTGGTCGGATGGTGTAGGCCGGCGAGACGTGCCCAGGAAGATCGGGGCGACTGGTGCAGTGGGTGGGGGCAGCGGGGCAGGGCTGGGGCAGGAGCCGCGGGGCGGGCAGCAAGCAGAGAGTGACTGGGGCAGCGAGGGGGACCTGGTAGGTGCTGCCCCACAACACTGCGGCGAGGGGCATGCACCCGGGCATACACTTTTCACATGCACTCGTCGTGTTTCAGACGATAACATTCGGAGAGGGGGATTGTGGGGGTGGGCCGCGGGCCCTGACTGGGGTTATCCTGCGGGGTTCCTCACCTTAGTAACCACTGACCAGGGCCCAGCTGACCCACCGGTCTAGCCCGCCCACAACCCTGCTGCTAGCCCACTAGGTGCCCTCACCCCTGCCCACTGATCACTACTGACAATTAGGTAACAGTTTCTAGTAAAAATCACGAGTATTTATCACGGCACGACTCTCAAAAACGTCAGGCCACGAGGTATTTTTGCTGCAGGCGCCGTGTCTGCCGCACTGCTCGCGGTGCTTGTGTGATCTTTGTGTCGTGCTTGTGAACTTGTCGTGCGAGACTCGTGTCTCCGGACCTCCTGTAGCAGGGTACCCGTCACTGTAACCAGTAGCGACAGTAGGGTGTTGCGTAGGGCATCCAGGCAAGCAGATCCGGGCGTGGAGGACGGAGTACCCATGGCAGATACTGGGCGTGGAGCGTGAACGCCCTGACTCCTCGCACCCAGCCCTGTCCGTCATACCTCACCTCCGGTCACCAGCGCCCCTCTGCCCTGTCCATAGATCCTGTCTGAGGGTGGACTACCTCCTAGGACCACCAGGTGGACACATCCTCTACCAACACGCCCTCATCCGCCTCCTTGATCATACACGACGCCCCTCACCCTCGAGACTGTTTATGTGGGCGTCAGCAGACCACAGCAGCAACAACTTAACCGTGACTGCTGCCGACGACCTGCCTGATGGGCACTTGGTGATGATGCAATATTAGGCGCGTGCTGCACTGACCCCTCCACCACCTGCCCTCGGTCCTCCACCACCTGCCCTTTTCTCTCCACCATCTGCCCTCCACCACCTGTCCTGCTCACCTGCCCTATACCCTCTACACTCCACCACCTGCTCCATCTACAGTAACGCTCCACAACCACCTATCATAGACAGAAAGCACAATGGATCTACCTAACGGGCGAGTGGGCGGGCATCACGGCCACCCGCCCACGCCCCACATGCCCGCCCACGCCCACCACCACCACCACTATCCCGGCCACCTGCCAGACTTCCTCAGGTACCACCAGCCTCCGCCGCCCATGGTAAATATCCTCTGAATGCATAGGCTAACTCTTCGTCCCTCAGGTGGGCGGCCGCCACCAACTCGTGATGGGCGGTGCAAGATACGGGGTTTAGTAAGCAACTTCATTTCGTCCATCCAGTCTGTACCACCGACCCACTTCCCTCCACACTACCCACACCACCCGCACACTACCCACACCGCCCGCACACTACCCACACCGCCCGCGCACACTACCCACTCTGCCCGCACACTACCCACACCGCCCGCACACTACCCACTCTGCCCGCACACTACCCACACCGCCCGCACACTACCCACTCTGCCCGCACACTACCCACACCGCCTGCACACACACACACCTTTACCAGTATGTTTTCTATTTACGCACTACTCATACATTGTCTGTATGCATTTCCCTCATACACATACTCCCCTCATACACATACACACACACACCCAAACACTCCCCTCTCACACACACACTCCCCTCTCACACACACACTCCCCTCACACGCACACACACACACACACACACACCCAAACACTCCCCTCACACACACACACATATACATACTCCCCTCACTCACATACTTTATATACATATTATACATAATACATACGAGTAACATCCCTCATTCCTGATGTTTTATGAATATGTATTACTTAAGATACAACTTTGATATTATTTGAGTCTAATTCATTTTTTTTTCAACATAATCTATTGGCAATATTGATGAGTCATGTTTATTTGCTGTTGATGCAGTTTGTCTGATGTTGTTACCTGGTTCAGTGTTTTGTTTCCTTCCCTTGTAACTATGGACATCAATTACTTTTTTTATATTATTATTATTCTTTTTCTTCCCCTTTTTTCTTTATTTTCTTCTTCGTTTTGTTGTTGTTGTTGTTGTTGTTCCTCTTCCTTCTCTTATTTTTCTTCTTCTTGTTCTTCTTCATTCTCGTCTTCTTCCTCTTCATCATTATCTTAATTCTACGTTTTATTTATTCGTTTTTTTCATTATTTTTGGCTAATATTACTCACATTCAATATATTTTTTTTTTAATGTAGCGGAACTGACAAGCGGTGTGACGTAATGCGGATTCTTTGTGGGTAGTAGAAGTGGGTCGTTAAGTTGGTGATTACCATTGTGGTTAGGAAATGGTTGTTTGAGTAGTTAAGATGATGATTAGAGTTGTGATTAGTTAATGGTTGTTTCAGTAATTAAGGTAGGTGATTAGAGTTGTGGTTAATTAATGGTTGTTTTCGTCGTTAAGGTAGGTGATTAGATTTATAGTTATTTCAGTCGTTAAGATCAGGAAAAGGACGTGATTGGTTGTTAGACAGATGCCAACTGATATAAATTACCCAACTGGTGTGAAACTACTATACCTCGATATGAACATCAACTATTAAATATTAACAACGATTGGAATATTTTGTCATTAATTTTACATATTACTTCAAAAACACTATGGAATATCTTATTGCAATTTCATTATAGAAACATAAGGGATATTTGTCATTGGTATTGTATTTCATTTCTCATATAAACTACAAATAATGCTTGTTGATCCACGGTGTGAGGTGAGGGAGAGAGAATTGGTGTTGGTTGACAGGAAAGATGATGATGATGTTAGTACCTTTACCTTACATACCTTACCCTTACCTTACCTTACCCTACCCTACCCTACCCTACCCTACCCTACCCTACCCTACCCTACCCTAAATAAAAAAACACCCAAAAAACAAGGTGAACCAACCAAAAAAAAACAATAAAAACACGTTCAAATAAACACCAATAAGAAGAGAGGACATCAGGTACAAATCTACAGGTTAAAAGTATTTCACACAAGTACAGAAATGGAATGAAACTTAATCTTTATTTACCAAACGTATATTGGATAGATGGATGGATGGATGGATGGGAGAGGATAGGACACTGATCTCTGGTGAACTGAAGGTGAGTATCGTGATGTTAGAGTAAAGATGAAGGAGGAGGAAGAGAAGAAGAGAGTATATGTGTTTGTTCAAATAGTCGAAACTCTCACTGGATTCAACGTTGACCAGTTCCCAAAAGAGCGGAGTGGATGTGTCAGTAAGAGGTCAGGGAAGCATATGAGCTGGGGCGGGGAGCAGACCTTCCCAGGGGTATCACACACACACACACACACACACACACACACACACATACACACACACACACACACACGATCTGGTTATTCGGCTGACTGGCTAGTGCTTCTATATATACTGTACTGAGAGAGAGAGAGAGAGAATATATGTTAATAATTCCGGGTGGTCGCTCTAAAAGCTATATAACTCCCTATGCATCACAACAAATTTGCTACACCTGCAAATTAAAAATCGAATTAGTTGGGGTGAGCAGGCGACCAAGAAATACAGGGAGGGAGGGAGTAAGGGAGAGGAAAAGGGGGAGGTACGATAGGGATGAAGGGAGGAAAAGAGGGACGAAGGGAGGTAGAAAGGGAGAGGAAAATGGGTGAGAGAGGGACGAAGGGAGGGAGAAAGGGAGAGGAAAATGGGTGGGAGAGGGACGAAGGGAGGGAGAAAGGGAGAGGAAAATGGGTGGGAGAGGGACGAAGGGAGGGAGAAAGGGAGAGGAGAGGGAAGGGATAGAGGGAGGGAAATATGAGGAAGTAGAAGGGAGGAAGTACAGAACTGTGATGATAATAAAACAGTCAGTCAGTCAGTTGGTTAGTCAGTCAGTTCAGAAGGAAGATATTCATAGACAAGTATAATGCAGCACAGACGCTTAAATAAAAACAAAACTGAACTTGAAAAAAGGCCAACCAAAAATTAGGTTAACCAAAAACTAAACTTAAAAAAGGCCAAACAAAAATTCAACAAAAAGGCCAACACCCCCCCCCCCAAAAGGTCAAAAAAGGACAAACAGCATTAGGTCACGATGACTTATACATACACCTGTGAACCCTCTTGATGATTACAGGTATATATCTAAATTACTTTATGATATACATAAAATCAGACCAACATATACAGACAGATAGTAATATGCATCCCTCTTCTTCCACATTTTCGTTGCGTGGGATAAAAGAATAATACAAAAGTGTGATAATTATACGAGAAGAAATAAGGTCAACACCGAAGGAGAATTGTAGCCATTGACAATTCTATAAAAAAAATTATGTTGACGATTGTATTTATTTCCAACTTTTGTGGCTCATAGCTATTCATACATATATATATTTCTAAATAGTAGTAAATAACAATATAACAATTTCCATAAAGTAACTATTTATCACAATTACAACTCAAACATGGAAGCGTAGATTAGAAAAAAAAAATAAATTGTACCTGTCGTTGAAATTAGCTGCAACATGACTTCTCTTGCCCTATAATAAGCAGGTGAACAACCAATCATGAAAGCAATATGCGAAACAGTAAGGTTAACATTACTGGAAAAAAATATCCTCATAATGAACCTTAATGACATCCCTGACGGTAAACAACAACAACAACTACAAAAATGCCGAGTATAAAAAATACAAAAAAAATATTGAAGCCTGATTTGTTGCAATAAATCGAAAATTACTTTATTGAACAAAGCAGTTAAAAGTTAATTAATCTAAATACTCTCATAATAGATTTTGACAGCATCATCGAACGCCACAAACTATTACAAAACACACACACACACACACACACACACACACACACACACACACACACACACAAACAAACGCACCACCGTCTTTTTTTTTATATATAGACCAATTTCAAATGGTACCAATTGATTACAATTTAGCTGTTCTAATTAATATTTGTGAGCGGTAATGGTCATTAATGTACGTTAATGAACATTTGTGAGTTATAATTGTTGTGTAAGAGGGTTAATGGCCAATTTGCGAGTGCCACTGATTGTTTGGGGTGATGATGTGATGAGTGCCAGCGTGAAGGGGGTGTTAACTCCTTCCTCCCTTCTTTCCTTTTTCCTTCCTTCATTTTTCCTTCCTTCATTTTTCCTTCCTTCCTTCCTTCCTTCCGTCCTTCCTTCCTTCCTTCCTTCCTTCCTTCCTTCCTTCCTTCCTTCCTTCCTTCCTTCCTTCCTTCCTTTCTTTCTTTCTTTCTTTCTTTTGTTTTAAGGGATTGCTGAGTTGTGACCACGCACCTCTCTTTCACTCTGCAAGTTTTTGTCCAGAGTTTGTCAATATTGTCCGATAGTTAAGAGTACTGGTCGGAATTATCTTCGAATTTTGTCCAATAATAAGTACTGGTCAACATTACGAGTTTTGTCCAACAGTAATAAGCACTCATCAACATTAAGAGTTTTGTCCAACAGTTATAAACAATCATCAACATTACGAGTTTTGTCCAACAGTTATGAATACTAGGCAGCATCTCGTGCGCGCTTTGTCCAAGTACTGGTCAGAATCGGCGAGTTCTGTCTAAACATATTTATACATTTACGAGTCAGAACTACGAATTTGCGCCACCAAGAACAACGCCTAATGAATCCACATTAGGCGAGGAAAAAATTTACGTGGTTGTATAAGATAATTAACATTTACCTGTGTGTCTGAGTCGGTACCTGTGTGTCTGAGTCAGTACCTGTGTGTCTGAGTCGGTACCTCTGTCTTTGTCAGTACCTATGTTTGAGTCAGTTCCTTTGTTTTTGAGTCAGTACCTTTGTTTGTGAGTCAGTTCCTTTGTTTTTGAGTCTGTACTTGTGTTTCCGAGTCAGTTCCTTTGTTTTTGAGTCAGTACCTTTATTAAATTGAGTCAGTACCTTTGTTTCTGAGTCAGTACCCGTGTTTCTGAGTCAATACTTGTGCTTCTGAATCAGTACCCGTGTTTCTGAGTCAATACCTGTGTTTCTGAGTCAGTACCTGTGTTTCTCATTTTGCCAGTAGTAACTCACCTGGATGCCACAGTTCTCAGGTATCTCTGTAGTCAAACATGAAAACCTTCTATGGACGAGCCTGTATAATGCCTCTGTATCTATTTGATAAGACTGTGCCTATCAGCGTGAATTTTTTTTT